TCAATCAATAGGTACATCTATGGTGACTCAATCTATCAACTAATGAAAAACATCAGAAACAACAATATAGAGATCAAGTCAACAGGATAGCCAATCAAGATACATGTACAGATAGTGACGAAATAATTACAACCAACAACCAATGACATCCCAACTCATCTGGACTGGCTTGTTTAGAAGAGCAAAGAAATCTTCTTAAATAAACCATCTGACTCAGACACTACAACAGCTCCACGAAGTACCAACTTCCTTATTGTTTCAATCAGTTCAACTTGTGAATATCTTATAGAGAGAAAACCTTCTGATTATTTTTTTTTGCTGTTAGAACTTGAGTTGTCTATGAATACTGAGCTCATTAACTCATCATAGAATTTCTTATGAAATCTTCCTTAGCTGGTGATATAACAGTTGTCTTCCAATGACCTTTGACCACCATAATATTACCACCCACCATATGTTTTGTCCCATAGCTTACCAGCATAACTCCAACAATCCTCCCTCTGAAGTAGGTCAAAAGTAGTGAATGGCAGTGTTTGAGAAGAGAGATAGCAAACAAAATTTCAGTAGTATAGTTCTCATTAGTGGCATGCTTCTGGATGGATATCACGAATTTCAAATGAGAGACCGTGACCTGTGGGGTCAACTAGCTGTAAGGAAAGCGGATGCCAACTGAAGACCTTGCCTTATATCGTGAATTGGCAGAAGCTGGAAACTGCGAACCACTGAACTTTGCAACCCAGTGTGGAACTCGAAGGTCCTGAGTTTGATCCCTAGTCGGGTCGTGGGTGCGAACTGCTGAGGAGAGCCATACTGGGACGAAACAGCTATCCAGTGCTCCCAGGTTTTCAATGGTACCACAATTGATATCAATCCGTGATGAATACTACCTCCGAAATTTTAATAATTTCTAGATAGTATTCACCACGGGCTGAAACCATTTGGAGAACCATTGAAAACCTGGAAGTAGTGGACAGTTGTTTTATCCCAGCATGGAACTTCTCAGCAATGCGAACATATATTCCCACCAGAGATCGAGACTGTGGGGTCTCGTGCGGAACGCGCTGCCACTGAGCCACTGGATCGAAACCCAATGGTTCACATTCTCGTATTTCTGTCAGTTCGTGGTATAACATGATCGTCATATGACTATTTGTCCTCACACCTAACTTCGTTGACTCCACAGGTCATGGCTTTTCAAATGAACTTTGAAAAACCCATCTCGAAGAATTTCACTAACGAGCAATGGACAGTAGTTCAGTTGGTGCTTTGCGATTATTGACTTATTTCAAAGTTGTATTCGTCATGGGCTCACATAGACTGAAGGAAGCATTAAAAACCTTGAAATCAATCAATTAAAATTTCAATGAATCTAGTAAATAGTGATCATTCAATTGTACTATTCACTGTCATCTTCAACATCGTGTGCTCAGTTCTATATAAGAAGTAGGTGGTGTATTGCGTTGTCCTGTGCTGATATTGATGAAGTAGATGGTGTTCACTACCAAAATATTATCCATTATCTCCTTGGTTTTTCCAATGTTTCACACTGTTACACCAATTCCTAAAGAAGACTGTCTTCATATATAACCATCCTGACCTTCCATAAACCAAAAACTAGTAAACTTAGTCATATTTGTTGCTGACTTGGCATACTGATTATTATGTTCATGGACAAAATGATACGGGAAAGTTGAACCTTGTACGAATAGGTGGGATGGTACAAGTTGTCACATGGGGTCAAAATCAAGAAGAGTACAATATTACTGAGAGAAATCAGAAAGCTATAAGAGGCAGAGATAGAAATCTACAAAAAACAAATGCATCCACAATTTTGGCGTCGATAAAGAATGAATGAATTAACTGGAGGTTTGAAGGGATTTTGGGATTTTTTCCAAGTTGGTATTCATCATGAACTGACACCAGTTGGAGGTGAATTCGAAACCTGGGAGCACTGGACAGCTGTTTCGTTTTACTTGTATGGGACTCTTCACCAGTGCCAACACGTGATCTTCAGGTTCTGTGGCCAGCACATTACCATTAAGTCACTGGGTCGGAATACGATGGTCGATATTTCAAACTTCTGTCATTTCATGACATAGCGTGATCACCACCCAATGTCATCGTTGAGTATTTTTCCTCACGACCACCAAGTTTCCCCATGAATTCTCATTGGAACTTCAGTAATCACCTCTCGAAGCTATTCACCAATGAGCACTAACTCAACTGAATTTAGAGGTTTGTGGGGATTTAGAGACTTTTTCCAGGTTGATATTCATCATGGACTCATCAATTGGAGGATGATTGGAAACCTGGACAGAATTTGGAAATATGGACCATTAGATTCCGACCCAGTGGCTCAATGGTAACCTGTTGGCCACAGAACCTGAAGGTCATGGGGTCATGCGTGCTCACTGCTGAAGAATCCCATACAAGTGGGACGAAACAGCTGTCAAGTGCTCTCAGGTTTCAAATGTTCCTCCGACTGATATCAGTCCATGATGAATACCAACTTGCCGTTGACAACCCTAACTAGAAATTGGAACTATATATACATGTGCACTATGGTGTATAGGTGAAGAGTCTAATCCGAATTTAATCCAGATACTCTTCCAGCCTCGATTTTTAGTAAGATACTGGATTACAGTATCTTTTTTACGAAATAACAAAGATTCTAATGAACCGAAAAAAAAATTAAACTTGAGGTCGTTGTAAATTGAAGTCTATTAAATGATTGACTCCTTTTCATTAAGGCCATTGGCAGTTTGTTCGACTAAACCAAATGCTTGAGATTAGGTTGCGGGTGCTGGTGGCAATAGTATTTAAGGGGTGGATCAGGAGATTGAGGATCATCACGTAGAATATTCGATGTACTTTGATGCATGATTGTACACAGTTTGGTGTGAACGAAACTCTTCGATCAATCATCAAGTGGATACAAGCATTTCATGTTTCCTCATATACCATGTATCATCAATTTGATGAGGAGCCGCAATGTAATGATACTTTGCTTCTAGTGTGGGAATTACATTTTAGTTTGAATTTAATGTGTTGGTACCAGTATAAACTGAGATATGCTTTGAGATTTTATTGTGCTCAAGTCTCCATTTCAGTTTCTTCTTTGTCTCACCTTGTTATCATACTGTCTAGGATCTTCATGCATCCCTATCTTACATCATCCTTACAAAGAATACAACACTGGTGTTTATCTTATGAGGCTGCTGTGTACATCTTATCCATCGGATTGTGATAGGAATCCACTTAGTTACCGCTTAACTAATGAAGGACCAAATCCATTTCATGTCCTTATAATTCTACTGTTCATTTGGTTGTACATCAGTAAGATCTAAAAATCTCGCTGATCATTCTTTAATTTTTTGTTTTGTTGGGAAACTATTGTCTTCACAGTGTTAATACAATACATAAAACGTCATTAACTATTGTTGTATAGTGTATTTTGTAATAGGAAATCATTTGAAGGGAATTAGGATGAATTGGTACTCACTTTTAAAAACGTTTTTAAAGAGGTGCACAACAACACTAAACTTTAGCTTCGGCATTTTATCGTGTCGTCAGGGAGCATCTTACCACCATCATCTTCATCCTCAACTACAAATCTTTTCTGTCATTTCAAAATTCAGATTGTTACACATTTGAACGAAGAGGAAGAATCGAGATCCACTCAGCTACCTTGTGCACATTCACACAGTAGGCAATGAGTCACATTTATTGCGTGAGAGTTAGTGATACTACTAGGATTGACGACCCACCGGTTAAAAGTCAACTCCCTTATCCAGTGAGCCACAACTCCACACACTTTTCAATACTATAGAATGAATACAAAATAAAATGTGAATATTGATTAACAGCATGTAAGGGAGATGTTTCTGGAGAATGATGGTCACTTTTCAGCTATGTCGCGTTTGGTCTGCAACTGTTCATTTATAGGGCCTCCTTTATATATCCCATACTCCTCTTTGCAGGTTCGACTGACGGTCAGTCAACTCCCTAGCAACATTAATAATCCAATTGTACAAGAAAAATTATGCACTGTTTTTACGGTTTAATGAGAAATGTCGTAATGTCATTTGACCTGTAATAAGTACTTTCATTTCGCCCACACCTTACTGTTCCTCATCAATAACTTACATCCTCATTCCATGTATAAGGTATGCTATCCAGCTGTAAGATTGTAAGCATACTTAACGTTAGGATTATCTTTATCCGCACGAAATAAAATTATCACTGTTTCACACTCCATTTGTTTTTGAAGCCATTTAGGCACATGTTCTCTCGCCCTCAACTGGATGACTCGATTACTCCTCCCTATGTATGTGTGACCACACACACACATGTAAATTGGTAAACACAATGGATGTGACGTAATCACTGATGCAGTGTTTAGGTTTTTGATGAAGCGTGTGTTTTGTTTTCTCCTCAATGGTAAGATTCGCCCCATAATACGTTTTCTTAATGGCTGATGTCAGCCTACGTCTCAAAATGATACTATTTAGCTCCCCCTCTGTATGGTAGATTGATATAGACATTTTTCTTGAGCACCGTGTATAGAGTTGGCTTTGGTGCTGCTTGACCTCTACAAGGGTTTATAAACTTCATCGGATATCCATTTTCCATAAGTGCTTTTGTTCAGTAATTTGATGTCTTCGTCCATCGCATCTGGTGTAATGATGCGATAAATCTTACTAAACATGCATTTTACTAGACCTCGCTTGTATTGGATTGGACAAAAACTGTGGAAACTAAGGTAATGTCCTGTCCATGTAGGCTTTCTATGAACCGACCGTCTTATTGAACCATCTTCTCGTCGACTGAGGAGTTCAAATAGCTTTCAATGTTTTACATAGAAACAGTCAGGGACGTATTCTGAGATTTGCGGAAGCCATAGCCATACACAAAAATAAAATTATATAATCCGATTGCACTGATTCAGATTTATTTTTAAAATGTATATTTCTGCTTGAAATTAATTTATCCTTTTCTAGCGTTATCTAAAACGTGTTCAAGAATGTGGACAGAATTCAAACTTAAAGTCTACGCCTATTATTGTTCACACTACAACTGGTAGTATACTTGAAAGATTAAAATCAGACATGTTGTCCGATATCGAATTGCCGAAAAGTGATGAAGAAAACACTACGACTGTATCTATCGAACAGATAGACGATAATGCTGATGGTGACGGCTATCATAATAGACTGTAAGTTATCAATCTGTACTGTTTGTATATATATATATATTGTAGTACTCGTCACATGGATACTGTACATACTTGATTATATATACCGTTCAACAATGCAGAAGAATATATATATAATTTAGACGGAGACATCAATTTAGGTGTAACAACGTAGAAATGAACAGTTTTCACAGGTCAAGTGGTAATGCGAAGGGTAGAAATGGATGTTTAAAATTGAAGACAGGTTATATGATTAACTATGCGTTAGGATAATAGCACAGTCTAAGGGTCATAGGATTTCAGGTAGGTAAATAATGATGATATGTTTCGATAACTCTATTAGAAGACGAAGATTATCTTAAAAATGTGATGTATTTGAAATGAATCACAAGTTTAATGCGAAAACAGCCTTCAAAATATTATACAAGAATAATCAGTGGCGCATACTGAAGTTTGGCTAAGCGTTAGCCATTCGTGAACTTAAGCCCCCGCTGTGCGTACAAAAACAATTTGTTGTTTCACTTAATTTACCTTGGTAATCCTTATCTGATCATATTACCAATACTGATGTCACGACCTTTTCATGTTTATTATATTTGGCCTTTCATTTTCAATTATAAATTGACTTGACACGTAAATGTGTGATCAAATTGTTTGAAATGTATTGCGCAAATACATCACATTTTTCAAATAATCTTCATCTTCTAATAGCGTGATCGAAATTTATTAAAGGAATGATATGGTAGCATTCACCATGGACTAGCTTCAGTTGCAGAACCATTGAAAATCTAGAATCACTGGACAACTGTTCTTTAGCAGTGCGCACCTACAACCCAGATGGGTGTCGGACTCAGAACCTTCGGGTTTTATGACGAACCTTTTAACCATTCATCCACTGTGTCGGACAGTGATAGTATCAACTCAAGGAAGCTAGATTACGTCATTCGAAATAAGATACCTAATAGTACTTAAGCAGAAATAGTAAGGAAACCAGGTATTGAGAGATGATTGATATTAATAACAATGGTAATAAGAATAAGGTTAGTTAGACGAAATAAATCAGGGAAGGAAAACAAAAATACAAGATGGGTGGTAAGTGAGAACAAAGAACAGGTAAGGAATATTGAATATGATTAGACGACGTTGTAATCCTTACTATGGTAGATTCAAGCTGACTACCATTTCCTTCTGAATGCAAAGGTTTGATTTGGCAACTCGAGTCGTTCTGGCTTCTGCACTTCAAAGCAGTTTCTTATTTTATTGTCTACTGATAACCGTAAAGACTTACAGGTATCAATATCATGCACATAATCCATTAGTTGTTTCTTTATCGAGCTCCACGGGGTCTTCTTCTCGGCATGCTTCAGCTGTTTGGGTAGACAGACGCCTCTCCGTACAACCAATATATTTGCTTCCGCAGGTATATTCGAATTGGTATATGCATTTAGATGTATCGAGGATCGGAGCCCTGTTTTTCCCTGATTGTTGTAGTACACGTTTGGTGGTTCTAAGGAAGACTAGTTTACCAGTGTTATAAGTCCTTCTGACAAACTTTTCTAGTCTTCGTCTAACTACTTCTAGCGCGTTGTCACCTTTGAATGACGAGGTGATATAGACCCTTTTTCTGTAGTGTTGAGGACGTTCTTCTACTTTCCACTCATTTTACGTACTTGTTTATAAAGCCTTCTGGGTATCCATTCTTCACTAGCACGTTTTTCAAAGTCATCATTTCGTAGTCTAGTGTGCTGTGGAACAGATCTTCTTGGCTGCATTGAACAGCGTTCCGACTACATTCATTAGATTGTATTGGATCGGTACAAATCTCCTAAAATGAAGGTACTGTCCTGACCATAAAGGTTTTTGATAGATTCATCAATTCTTTCCGCTAATGAGACATTTAAGAAACTAATCATATTATTTTCCTCGTGCTCAATCGTATCCAGCTGACGAGTATTACTGAAATTTATGAATCCGTTAAATCCTGCTTGTTTTTTATGTATAGACATTCGAATAGTAACCTACAGATTCCGCCCTCCATGTTCTCTTATTTTATTGGAATGCAGACAAGGCGGTAAGTCAGCAGGAGATGTCCTGCAACTGTCCTGCAACTATTTACATAATAAAACGGTTTATATATCTTTATAGTGGCCTTAGTTGTTTCTACACCAATCTATAGAGACATTCCCCATTAATTTTGCCTGTTCAACTAATTTGATATTTACACGTGTGGCCGCACACCTTTTCTCAAAATTTCAAAGCAAAATGATTGGTTGTGGAACGCTTCAGAGATTTAAGGCTTCATGTGAAGATCTGAGGTATTTTATTGGCTGACCATTGCAATTACATTCTTACACTGTATGGGATTGGTGTACTTTGTAAGTTAGAATCTGCGTTAAATACGAGTTCACTTGAACACACACACACAAGAGATAAGGAAGTAAAGTGAAGAAAAGACCAACTGGAGATATAGTGTAGTGATAAATGTCAACTTGATGTCTATATTTTTTTGAAAATTATGCAAGTTGGTTAGCAAACAACGAACATAGTTGCTATGTGGTCCTCGGTGTTAACTGAATGTTACCAGTCCATTTACAGATTAACGGCTGCAGCTTCATGGTTCTTTAGATGAGTATTCATTGGTAACTTTCGATACCACATGTAGAATGGTGGAACGTGTAAACCACTTTACTTACTTGGGAAGTTGCATCAGCCTGAACGGGCTGGTTGCTGACAAAATCTCAGCTCGGATACAGAAAGCCCGTTTGACATTCGCCAACATGCGTCACCTGTGAAGCCGGAGAGGTATCTGACTATCTATCAAAGGATGAGTATACTGCTCTAAGTTCGTTCTGTCCCGTTGTACAGCTGTGGGACACGGCCGTTAAAAGTAGAAGACAAATCGGTTGACAGGGTTTTGATCATTAGTGTATTCGCTGCATTGGTCGTGTTTGGTGGAATCACTGTGTGATCAATTCTGAGGTCTGGTGAAGAGTGCTAGGCGAGACAGACAAATCGATTGATGAAGTTGTGAACTTTCATTGACTTGGATATATATTGCAGAATGCCGACCCGTCGCTTACCTGGACGTGCCAAGCTATGAAAAGTTGGATGAAGATGGTAGAGAGTTCAGAGTGCCCAAAACAAGACATGGCACTAGTTGACGAAGTCTCTGACTGTTGGTCTGAGCCGTGTAAGGGAGATGTAGACTGAGTGGTTGGGGTCCTCAGGACGAAAGGAATCAGTGGTTGAGGACACTTGGTGATATGGTTGAAAACCAGTCACAGATGTATTCACCCCTTGACATCTAAAGCTTGAATATTCGCGCTAATCGTTATCTTCGGATTGTTTTTTCTCACACTACTTTGTCTTCTTTGATATCACTCTTTTTCTATCCACTTGTTCTTTGTGTACTGCTGTAAAGTGTGGCAATTTGAGTAGATGCACGTGTGTGCGTTGTTTCACATTGATTTTGTCAGTCACTCAGTCATCATGCCTAGAGAGTCCATACCTGAAAATACAAGGGCTGGTTTCATTCCACTGAATCAAAAACACGGTCTTCTGATTGCTTCTTATCGATAAAAATGACAAAATGGTTTTATTAACTCTCTTTTTTTCAGTATGTGCTAAGAGGTGTTGTATTGACCTAACGTATGTACTTTTATGTCATACTGCACTCCCTTATTTCATTTTTGAGTAAATTTCTATTTTTATTAGGTCAGCTGATGATTGTGCGTCCAGTGAGAGATGTATAACTGCTTCAACTACTGTTCGAAAATCAATAGTGAAAGACGAAAGTTTCGGTGGAAATGAATTATTTCCCGACTGCTACTCTCCGGTCTCCTCCCAACCTAACCTTAATCAACGCAACTGTACCACTACTAAATACTATAATCAGATGAAAATGATCTTACGTAAATCCATTGATGAGTGTCAGATGCGTATAAAACTTTTAGACAGTTTGCAACAATTACGCTCAGTGCGACTTACTCAAGCTAAACAACAAGGTAATTTTCGTATGTATATGTAGGTAGAAGGGGAAATTCTTTACCTTACCACCTACCATGACGAAATTTCTTATAGGATTTATTTAAACTACTTGTGAGTAGTCTATTTTATAATACTCAAAATTCAAACATTGAAGTATTTTTCGTGTTCATTTAGCATGCGTTTTAGAATTATTGGAGAGTTGTGTTTTATATTTCACTGCTCAATAACGTGAAACCTTGATCATTTCTGCTGTTTGACTCAATACTTTCAGGTTTTCAAAAAAACATCCAATCGAATGAAATGTTAAATTTTACTTTTTATACAATTTGGAAAGAAGCTTGCAGAATTCTAACCAATAATTTTTCACAGATAGGCATTAACAGCCAAGGGTGTTGTCCGACTTCACACACTTCATTTAGGTGCGTCAAAGCAGAATTTGGCAGCGGATAAGGCAAAGAGCTGCATACAATTATATCAAAGTAGCTCAGTTGGTTGAGCATCGGGTAGGAAACCCGGTGGTCACTGGTTCGAATCCGACCGCGGTCCGAATTTTCGTTTAACCATCAATCATTACTGAACTAGTTATGTTTCGATGTTAGCTTCATAGTTTAATCAGTACGGTTGTGAACTGTCACTGAAAACATCACTTAACTGAAACTCAATCACAATGATGCAGATATAGTTTCGCATCTTCCTCACATATATATATATATATATATATATATATATATATATATCGGTTTATTTATTCTTCACTTGTATTGTCATTGGTTCGTGTATATCAATTTTATCAAGAAATTCAAAGTAATATATTTAATATAACGTTTCTGAACTTTTTATACTCATTTTTGAGATTTATTTCATTAAGTACTTGTTTCTTTCATTGGTAGGTGGCCTTTTCCCCCATCAAGTTGATGAAAAATTCAATTTTGACATTAGTGAATTAAAAGATCTATTACTTGGGCAAGCTGCAAAATTAGAATCGTCTTATGCAAAAGTCAAGGTGAGTGAGTGAGTTCCAGAGTGAGTGAGTGAGTGAGTGAGTGAGTGAGTTCCAGAGTGAGTGAGTGAGTGAGAGTATTTCCCCTTACGCGTTTTTCTCTCCTTTGTGTTCATGAAATTTCTTGTAGGATATACTTCGATACCGTGAAAATCTACAATCAAAACATAATTATAATGCCATTTCACAAACTCAAAGTAGTTGCTGCATTCATGTACCAAATTTGTCAAAATCATTACAAATCAAACTATTCGGAAATCATTGCACTACTAAGCTATCAGGTAAGTTAACAAAGAATCATTAGCATTATGGTTCACGATTTAATAGCATTACAACCTTTTAGTTCATTGGGAATTTTATGAATGTTATTTTTTTTTATAGTGCCTGCCTTTTTTCAAATATTTTTGTTAAGGTTAAAAAAGTCCCTCTAATGTTCTTGTGATGAAGTGAATTAGAGGACTTCAGTTATTCATTCTCTATGCATCTATCTACTAGTTGTTTAAGTCTCTGTTTGTGCATTACTCGATAGCTATGCTGATTTGTTTCAGTAAATAGATAAGGAATGTATAAGCCAAAAGTATTGTCTTCAATTTATTCTCGTCAGACTTTTCTCTTATATGAAACTACAATCATGATGATATCTTTAGGCTGTGATAGCAAGTCAATGAAGTGTTCAAATAGTAATAATAATTATTTCAATGTTGATAAGAATGATGGGAACATTGTGGTACTGTAGACTTTTAAACACTCAACTCAGTTCGAAACTTGAAAAAGTAGTAGTCAAAGTCTAACCAAATTCTAAGACATATTTGTAAAATAGGGGGGACTAGAAAGAAAGAATTTCATAAAATCATATTTATTTTTGAAATCGTTTATTAAGTTTTCTCTGATGAAATCAGAGATAAGAATTGTACAAACGTTTTCTGTTTACAAAGTCTAAGGTTGTTTTCTTTAATTCCTATAGCCTCAGCTCTATGTAATATGCAAATATGAACTCCATTGCAAAGATTTTACCGATGGCAATAGATGATTTTGATTACTTTAGTCCTATTATATTACTGACCATTATCAACCAAATGCAACAAAATTGAACTTCATATTAACTTGACTCATCCCTTTCCTAGCCATTGTGGGGGGGGGGGTTAGTTCTTAGCAAAACGCGTTTATTAGGCTGCTTAGGGGTGCATCCGATATAGCTTTCTTGATAAAAGCAGCTGAATTGGCAAATGCATATAGAGGTGGTGACAAAACTGGACAGATTAATATTTAGAAGTAGTATTCATCATGGACTGGCATCAGTTAGGGAACCATTGAAAATCTGGGAGCACTAGACAGCTGCTTCGTCCTATTATGGGACTCATCAACAGTACACAACCACGAGTCCCATGATAGAACGAAGCAGCTGTCCAGTGCTCCCAGATTTTCAATGGTTCCCCAACCGATGTCATTCCATGATGAATACTACTTCTAAATATTTCTTTAAGCAATGGTGGTCAGTTGACGAGAAATTGGTAAGCAGAAGTTGGTAACAAAAAAGGTTCTTTTGATGGGTCTAGATAACCTCTCGAATAAAATGTAACCCAATGTGTTGCCATCAAATTGAAGCTTCATGGATGATGATTTTCGTTTGAATAGTCATTTGTTCTGATTTCTTACTCACCTTACTCACATATCTCTTTATAAAACTGTACGGGTAACTTATTTCTTTCAGCATGTTATGAATGTATTCTAGCTTGGTTTGTATTCAAATATCACAGCAATTTCTTTTAGCTCTCTTCGCAAAACGTTCAACAAAGTCTCGTTTATATGGAGGAAATGAACTGAACCAGTAGGTGTGATCTTTCTTTACATCCTTCCAGTGACCCCATCATCTCTCTTCTAATCAATAGAACATTAAAGAAAGTTACATATTCTCATAGTTTTCTTCCCAAGCGAAAGTGAGAGGAGGACATACTTCATCAAACCTTTTTAGCGATTTTTTTTGTTGACGTTTTTACCAAGGACAGTATAACGTTGACATCTTTCAGTGGTCTTTTGTTTAGTTTAGCTAGAAAAAGAAACTGGTTAATGTTGAAGCTTAAGATGAAGGCATGATAATTCCATCAGTTTGTCTATATTAATAAAGAGAAAATGAACATTCATGGTTCATCCTAGAATTAATCTTTTGAGATTAACTTCTGGGAGTTCAACATTGATCTGTGTTTCCAATGTGCTGAAAAATGAATTTTACTGTTTCAATGAGTGGTAGATTGATGACTAAAAAAAGAAACATCTAGAGATGTTATGTGTTTTCTGTGCATCTGTTACCCTTTATAACTTGAAAAGGAAGTTGAATACATTTTTAACACTATCCTTTACAAATTGTTTGCTAAAGGGGTTATAGGACCCTGGTTAAGCGCTTTGTGATTTTATAATAAGAAGAATTGAACGTCTAAATCGTGACGGAGAGAAAGTTGCAGTTAGTGAACTTGAGTTATGACGTATAACTGTGGTTCAGTCGAGTCGTATGTAGTTGTGGAAATAATACCCACTTGTCTTAGTTCTTTAAAGATATTGTTAATTTTTTTAATCTCTACCGTCACAGAGTTTTTGAAACGTTGTTTGGTCATTCAGTAGTAAGAGCATTTCGTCATTTATATATTCACTCTCGTTCATTAGTGTTATACCCATCGTCTTATCTGGTTTACTTACTATCAGACTTACTTGTAAACTAGAGACGAACAACCAGCTACTTTTCATAAACATATTGCTTAGTCAACGGGAAGATGGCTCGATCAGGAGACCGATGCATAGGAAGTCTGCATGGACAGGGCAATATTTTAATTTCTAATATAAACGCGGTTTAGTTAGATGCTTATTCAACAAAATCAATCACATCTACACCGATGATACCAAGGAGGAAGAAACCAACTTATTGACGACAACACTGGTACAGAATGGCTAGCCATTGAAATTTATCGACTGGTGCAAAAGTTACATACCATTGAAATGTACAGTGTTCCGCTGCTAAGAAAAATGTCTACAACTCATTACCACTAAGAGGCGATTCAAATAACTTTGTTATGCGGAAAAGGCTTAGGCCAGCTATTATTCAGTCAAGGTCATCATTTGAGAAAAGATAAAGTCCATATTATAACACAATCCAAAACAACGTGTAAACGATTACATCATATCCCACTGTGTTTATCAATTTTACATGTATATGTGGACAGATACATAGGAAGGGGAAATCGTGATATTCAGTTAAGGATGGTTGGACATGTTCCTAAATGGCTTCGAAAACAAATGACCTAAACAGGTCCGATAAGTGCGGGTAACAAGCACCCATCTTCATCTATCGCTAAACATATGCTAGGAACTAACGACAGAGTAGACGTGAAAACACCTTTTAAAACACTACATAAAAGTGGTCAAGGCCGAGCGTTTGAATTTATTGAAGCTCTTACCATCCGTAAATTCAAACCACCTCTATAAATACAAGAGCAAGTTCTACTCAAGTTGAACCTACCTTCGAAGTACTGATTTTAATTTTTACACTAAGCGTAACGTGATTAAGATTTTGTTTTTCTCTGCCCTTCCTATTTTCATGTTTCCTATTGACTTCATTGGCCCTTTTCGTAAATTTCCATGTAAATAGTTCGACAAGTTTATGTGCGATCACATTGTTTGAAATTTATAGCGCTAATACATGTTTCAGTATGAATACTATTTTGTGTACTGCTGACAGCTACTGACTGACGTAATTATGCATCTAGGTTGTGGATAAATTTATAATTAACTTTCTGCCTACTTAAGTAGTATACTCACATTTGCAAAATTAAAGTCTCATCTATCTCAAAAACCCATATTACTAATTTTCGGTACTGAGGTGGTTCGATTATTCTCTTCAGTCTTATTCATAAAAATTTTTATCGGCTTGATCCATTGTCACCAATGTTTAGTACATTGTTGTACTATATGATGTCTTGTGCTAAAAAAATTCTATTGCATCCTCTTTTTTGACTATAAAACAACTTCATTTTGTTTCATTTTAGATATTCCTCAACGTTGGCAACGCTTTTACCATCAAGCTGATTATAACTTCTGCGATTTTATCAGAATTAGGTAAGCTGTTCACTACGACATATATATTGACAACCCGGTGACATGAGTAGTTGTAAACCAGTAAGGTGTATCATCGCTGGGTTTGCTACCTAGTTGAATTTTGTTCCCAACTACTCACTGATTATTCAGTAGTACATATCATTTGATATTGTTAGTACTACCGTACTGAGATGTCCCAGGGAAACCGCGATGGCGTTGTACACAATATAGCTTCAACCAAATGTGTTTGTTTCTCCCTTTATACTTTGGACATTACAAACACCTAATTTGATTCCAACCTATTAAAATTTAGATGTTAATTAGTTGGACGGAGTCAGCAGTACACCCCTTGCCACCACCTACTCTATCCAAACCCTTAATCTGCTTCCTGTAGAACTGGTTTATATGCATAATATTCACTGGTTGCTGGTGAATCCCAAGGAACACAAAACCTAAGTGACTACTACATTGCAAAATGATTGATAAACACTTAGGACTAGACAACATGAAATTGGTTACTCTGTAGTGACCAATCAGTGTATAGATGTTTAACGATATCCTAATGTGTTGATTCTAATTGTTAATGTCTATTTCTGTTTATTGTATACCTCTTTACCTTTCCTGCTAGATATGCATGGGATAAATATCTCAAAACAGATATTTCTTTAAGTGATCAGTTGGACAATTATGAATTGCCTAGACACTGGATTCTTCCTGAAATGGATAGGAATGAACAGAAGGAGAAAGAAAAGGAGGCTACTAATAACAAAGATACTACAACTGACTGTACTGAGAAGGGTGTTAGTAATGTACACGATAAATGGGTTAGATATTTGAAAGTAATCCCTGTTTCTATATGCTCAACTTCTTGTTCTTCATCTGATTTTGTGCCTTCTTGATTATTTTAATTATAATTCGGTTCATTCTCACAATTATCAATCTACAATGTAGTTGGTAATGTTTCAATGTGATTACAGTCTTATTTTTGTTTGTTTAACACTTGAATATTTATGAGTTGTTGATTTGTTTGTTTTTTCTCTTGACTTTCTGCTTCCTGGGTAAAAGAGAATACATTTATTTCTCATCGTTGAAGATCTTTCTGTTCCTCGAAAACAAAACATGTGGAAATTTAAATGGTAGATATATTTTTCCAATGACTAATTCGTCAAACAGAAAAAATAGAGGTGAAAACCCCAACAAACAACACAGGAATAGAACCTTGATTAGGGGAAAGAAAAGTTAGCCTGAAACCAGTGTGGAGATCTTCTGCACTCAGCATGTGGAACAAGATACGGATTTTCAACACCAACGTGAAGTCAGTGCTCTTGTATGGCTCAGAGACTTGGCGCGTCACGAAAGGCATTTCCAATAAACAACAACTGCTTACGCTCGCTGCTGAAGATCAGATGGCCAGAAAAAATAAGCAACAAGGAACTCTGGAACACAACAAAGAAGGTGGAGCGGCTGACCCGGGGGGTAAAGCAAATAATTCTTCCTAGACCTTTTTGTAGAAAAGCATCGTCTAATCAGCCAATCCGATACTGATACATATAATCACTTGACTTTTTGCTAACCTTTGGCGTACAGTGACTGGTTGTGATTGTTTTCAACGGATAAATGCTTTTTTTTGAAAAACCGAAATGGGTATGCTGCACACCATAACATAATCAACCGTCTTCATATATTCTGACTAAATTAATGTGGGACTCAAGAATTGTGATTCATTAGTCTAGGGATTTGACTTTCAACCAGTAAATCACAGGTTCACATCTCCACTCAAGCTGTTGAGTTTTAAGCAGTCAACCCTAGCACATTAAATGGTCTCTGAGCTGCTTTATTTCATAGTCTGGCATGGGAGATAATTAATTCAAGTTATATGTTAAGATTTAAGGGTATATAGCAATACGAAATGATCGTCGTCTGTGCCAGTTAGTTATCTCTTCTAGCTGCGTAGTCAGGTTATTCCTCCCTAGGTTAGCCACTGTGGTATTTACGAAAATACCTAAGGGGAATTAAAACAATCCGATCATTGGCAATGTAATTTGAATGATCCAATTTTAGTTCTAGAAATGATATTAATGAAGAGGTGGTACATTGCTTGGATATGTAGCTATATTTCTAAACGTTATCATCACTCTATCCTCGAGTTGATTGGGCTGAATTAATCAGTTTCTATTGCTCTATGAGCTCCTTCGCGGATGCCTCGATTATTGCCTGTAGCTTCACTTTGGTATTAATAATCGATAGTGGCTAGCCGTAAAATCCAAGGTTCGTGTTTCATCCTATTCGGGACTCGTCAGCTGAATGTACCTGTCCATCCTCTTCAGTGAGCAATGATGTTCCCACTTGGACTCGGGAGTTATCTCTTAAAATGGCAAAAGTGAATTTCGTCACATAGTTTCCTAGCAAGAAAGTATTAGCATCTGAAGCGGTCTGTCTTAGGCTCGAGTCTCAGTGGAAACAACGTCGTTTACTGGGAGGCAATACATTCAGCTGGCGAGACTTAAATAGGACAAAACGCAAATCCTGGATCCTAATGCTTGCTATTATCATTATCATCATACAACGAAATTAAGTCTGTGAGTTATGCAGAAGTAAACTACAAGCCGGCATGTAACGATCATGATAATTAAATTTGGATGTTTAACTCTTGCAATGGGTTCCAGCAACACCGTTGTCAAACGTCCTAGATTACGATCTTCACAAATTGAGTTCTTTTATCTTTCGAACTGTAACCAAAAAAAGAATTTACGGCTGTTGAATACATGGTTCACACATATAACTGACTGTTGTACCTTTATTGTAATACATCTTCATAGAAAACAGTTATCAGGTAGGTTGAACAGTTCAGAAGTGTATCAGCTAGAATCGGCAAGTTGCACCGAACTTATGTGACCTTGATCTGTAGAAAGAATAAATATTTTGTCCATCGTATTCTGGTTAACATTTGCGAAAATGAAAAGAAATCAAGTTATATACAACAGCTTTGCGTTGATTATCAAGTCTGTAGGATTTTCCACTCACTTTTTATCATTTAAAGTTACAAAGCTGGTAACAGAGAACTTACGGCTTATACTGTTTATCAACTTAATAATTGCCTAATGTAAGTACAGACTTTTGACACTGTGGTAAAACGTAACGTAACGTTATGAGGAATAAATTCTCATTTTGCAAATAATGCTATATCACTGTATGCCATTTGAAGTTGACCAATGTAATATAAGATTACCCACCCAAGCTTTTTGAATTGGAATTACTAATTTTCAATGAGAATAGTAGTCGTAATTCCCCGGTAACCTTCTACAAATTTCTCTGTTTTCGTCGCAAAAGCAGTATAGTTTTATGCGAAAAACTAATCTTTCGATAAGATTATGAGTGATAAATTCTGACTGAAACTGATCCAGTATGAAACTTCTTATTTGTTTGGCTCACCAAATGTCAATAAGTAATTCACTTGCCTCTTATTGGCCAGTTCAAGGTCAGCATTCGGATGACCTCAACCCAGCTAATTTTTTAGATACCACCATATATCCCTTTCAGCCTATCACGTTGTACTTTATTAGAAATAAAATCAATAAAAGTTGAAAAATACTGAAGACAAATCATGCAACCCAATCGGTTATAAGGATTGTTATTTGGCGGGTTATGAGGTACATTTATAGTGACGACCTATGATACCTAGGTCAAAGTAAACATTGTTCAAATTAAACCTGATATCCACCGTTTAATAAAAATTAAGAGCTTAAGTCAGTGATCTACACGTTTGCATATTGAGAATAGCATAACTGAAATAAAAATCTCGTGTAAGCTTAGAACTTACGTGGGGATTGAATTTGAGGAACATAATTGATATAACCACATGATTTCTTTGTTGGATTAAGTAAGTTATACTATTTCAATATATGGTGTCATCTAATATAGAATAATTTGGAACTAAATATTGGAAATAAAATATCAAGCAAACAATAAGTTATATATTATTGATGGATAGTGGCTAGCAGTGGAGTCCAGAACACGCATTTCGTCCTGTTTAGGACTCGTCAGCAACAACGTTAAAATCATCCAAACTTTTTACTTGACAATGTATATATATACAAGTATTCAAACCAGGCTACTATACATCTACGCATTGGCCGACACTCTTTAACTCCTGAAACCTTGCTAAGTGATGAGGGATTCGAACCCTCGAGATAATAAACCCCAACAGACTGGCATCATCATCCATCCAGATCAACCTAGGACCAGGCATTACTGCTTAATGGTTCGAGTTGCCACAGCTCATATCAGTACATCAAGTAAAAAGGCAGTGAGGCTCAAGATGAAGATAAGAGAATGCAGTTAAAAAAATATAAAGTACGAAAAGAGAGAAACTAAGAATGAGAAAGTGATGAGAATCGGTATACCGTCGTTAAGATGAAGATAATGAGTGTATACATCTGCGCCACTGACATCGGTTCTTACCCATTTCACCTACAGTCTCCAACCACAGGTTCCTCTTGTCCCACCGACCCCAACCACCTAATCTGCATCGCCCCACATCACTCAAACCAACAGTCAAACACTTCATACATTGGTGCCATGTTTCAGTCTGACCACCTCGGGCCTTTTTCCAACCCGAACCTACTTCAGCCAACATTGTGTGAAGAGGCAATCGGTGACTAGGCATACGTAGTACGTGTCCCAACCATTTCAGTCGATGAAGGTTCATAACCTCGTCAACTAACTTACCTCTTCTCCCTAAAACTTTACACCTAACTTCTGCATTACTCATGCGGTGACACCACGGAATACGGCCTATACTACGAAGGCAACGGTGCTCAAACACCTGAGGCCTTCTCATATCTTCCACCTTCAATGGGCATGTTTCACAACCATACAATAGAGCAGACCGCACTGCTGTGCAGTATACGCGACCCTTAGCAGGCAATCGGATATCACGGCGGCGCCACAGGTGGCGTAAGTTGGCGAAAGCCAATCGAGCCCTTTGTATCCGTGCAGAGATTTCACTGAGCCATCGGGGCTGATCCTACTTCCCAGGTATTTAACACTTGCAGTAATGTCATTAATTATTTGATAATGGAAGGATATTTACAAAGTCATGTTGAAAAGTGTACATCATCACACTTCTTTAGTTAAATTCATACACTGAGAAACTGAATTATCAGTTAAAAATTTTAATCTCATAGTAGTATAAGTAGTAGTAGTAGTAGTAGTAGTAGTATTTAGCATATCATACTTGATCAGTTGAGAGTAATCAATTTTATACTGTCTAGGCGTAAGAGTTTCAGTTCAGGCACCGTGACAAAATAATAATAATGGTTTTATTCTGAAAGCTGTTTCGGGAATACTCTACAGAATTTTCAGCACGTCATATAACACCAGTTGTATAAAGACAGTGTATATGTATACGTAGCAGAATGAACTAAGTAGAAATTATATGAAGAAAAGATAAAAATATTCTCTATATCTACAACTTTCTTCAAAATGCACAGTCAATTTAGATAGACAATCATATTGGCAATTAGATTCATAATACGTAGAAAGTATAACGCCCATCTTCAGTTAGTTTCCTTTCAGAAACAGAATCTGATTAGTTATTATTATTATTATTAGTCCCTTGGGTTCCGAGTGGAACATAGGGCTTCAGTAGCACGCCTCCAGTGACCTCTGTTCTCTGAGATCTTTTGAACCTGGTTCCACGACAGCCCAGAAGCTCTCATTTCCTCCTCGCATGACCTCCTCCATGTCACCCTCGGACGTCCAACTCGTCGCTTCCCATAGGGATTCCACTCGAGGGCCTGACGCGTGATGTCCTCAGTCGGCCTTCTCAGTGCATGGCCAATCCATCTCCACTTCTTCCTGCATATTTGTTGCGTGATAGGTTCTTGGTTGCTTCGTT